AAAATAAATTTATATTTTTCAAGATTTTGTGACATTTAATGTTACTTTCATTTTCCAGATTTTCTAATTATATCTGTATATGTTTTTTTTCATATGCATTTAGATTATATATTATTAAATTTTGAGCAAGAAGGAATTTTAATATTTTTCAGGTCCTTTTGTTATTTTTCATACATTTCTAGATAATTGGTGAATATTTCTTCAGGCATGTTTAGGGACATCTCTTTATTTGGGTAATTTTACAAATATTTCTTATTCACATTTTCAGGTATATTTTGGATATTTGCTATTAATTTATATTATTTGGTTTCATTTTATAATATTATTCTTACATTCATCATTTTGTCAATATTTTATTTATTTATTTAGGACACCATTGGTTCACAGGTTCTGAGCTTAAAAATGCAGCTTTGAGGCACTTAAATATTTTTATTTTATGCTCCAGTTACGTGGTAGTTAAATTAATTAAAACTACAAAATATTTCTTTATTTTATCAGATAAAATAGTTTTTATTAAATCTGAAATAAACTAAATTAAAAAAAAAAACACCCGGATATAAACGGGTTACGTTGTGGAACTACACTACCCATGATGCTTTGGTGACCTTAAACGCCGTTAGCTGTGGACCCGCCTGACCCACATGTGTTTGGCTCAGGTTTGTTGACATTTTACATCGATTAGCAGCATTAAAACTGCGCCGAATTGTCCGTGAGCAGCTGCTGTTTTCGGTTTTTCCGCAAGAGTTCAGCCAGAGGTTTGTGTTTCATCGTGACACCGAAGAAAAGTAAAAAGCTGCGGATTCTCAGGCAGGTTCTGCGGGTAAATATATCTTTTCTAAAGGATTTTATTGAAGTTGGCTTTCAGTTTACGTCTTTAGTTTATATCTTTGGGACGTTTAAGTCACACTGAAACATGTTTGTGTGTTTTAATTCACTGAGTTTAAACCTCCGAAGAAGAAGCAAGTTCACCTGTTTGTGACGACGCTGAATTTAACACCCGATAGATATGAAATGGAAAAAGGACCAGGACGACGGGGGGGCTTAGAAATGATTCATTATTATTATTACTTAACATTACTTTATTCTTACTGAATTTTAATCAGAAAAAAATGTAATTATTTTCTAGAGATTTTCTATAGTAATGACGCCCAGTCATTACACAATATAATCATGCAAACTCTAATTTCAGGGTTTCATTTTGGAGAAAAATAGTAAAAACAAGATATATTTTTTCTGTTTACCATGTGATGGGACAATTTTTCCATTGTAAGTCTATGCATGTACTGTATGCATGTGTGTGTGTGTGTGTGTGTGTGTGCGCGCTGTTTCTCTGTTTCTCTACCCCTGTGATAGACTGGTTACCTGTCCAGGTGAACCTGCCTTCACCCTGAGTCAGCTGGGATAGACTCCAGCCCCCCANAAGAGACACAAAATGACCACAAGGAGATGCAAAATGGCCACAAAGAGACATAAAATGACTATAAGGAGGCAATAATTGGAGTCAAAGAGGCAGAAAACAGCTGTGTCTCGGTGTAGTTGTGTTGTTTTTACATGTGTGTCCTCAGGGTCCCTCTGTCTCGTTACGCTGAGCTGGACTTGATGCTGGAGTCATCCTGACTGACGAAGCTGTCGGACTCTCGGTGGTTCTGCAGTACTTGATAACGAAGCTCTTGTTTGGCGACTAACAGAAAGTCACACATGACGAACAATCGGTCAGTGTGAAAATAAAAGCGTGTGCTCTGAGCCGCTCTCTGCTTCAGCGGGATGTTGAGCGTCGCAGTGCCTGACAGAAACGAAGACGCTCGAGTGTGAGCGTGTACAAAGGCTTTATATTTCTATGAGAAATGCACACAGCCCTGCTTCACTCTGTACATACTGTATCAACTGTACATACTGTAAATGCTTTCAGCCTGTTTTTAAAGAGAGTATTTTTTCTCTTGAATTTGATGATTGTGCCAAAACGACCGAATGATGCACGAAGCGACAGTGAAAGGTGCTACGCTGCGCTGCCACGCTCTCTGTTTAGATGTTTACCGCAGCACATGTTAAAAGTTTTCCACTGACGCTTCATGTTTGGATGTAACTTCAGTCTTTGCCAAAGCTTCACATACGTTTTAAAAAACTGCATGACCGGCTGCTGCTTTTAGCACATTCCTAACTGGTGTTTTATAATGACGATGATTATTATTATTATTAAGATGTCTGCTGGTGTTTAATGCAGAAATAAACGTGGGGACACGATGAGCCGAGAGAGGCCAGATGTGCACATCCTTGTGTTTGTTATTCTCACAAAATGTTGCTTAAATCAGATGTTTGTCCTTAAGTTAAAAGAATAGTTTGACATTTTGAGAGACACACTCATGTCTTAGTGTTCACGACACATCATTTTTACATTTTAGATACTTTATTTCTATTTTTCAGAAATTTCCTTATATTTTGTCATATTTTTTGT